ACCACCTCCCTGGGCAATATTCCAGTACGTGAACACTCTCACAGGGAAAAGATACCTCCCTAACATCTTATCTGACTCTGCCTTGTCTCAGCTCAAGGCCATTCCCTCTAGTCCTCTCCCTGCAGCCATGGCAGGACAGACATCCCCCACCTCTCTCCAGCCCTGTCAGGGAGCTGGAGAGAGCCATGAGGTCACCCCTGAGCCTCTTCTCAAGGCTAACCAAGCCCAACTCCCTCAGCCCTTCCCCATGTGCTCTAGCCCTTTGCTGCCCTCATTGCCCTTGGCTGGACTCACTCCAGAGCCTCAGTGTCCTTCTGGCAGTGAGTGCCCAAAGCTGAGCACAGCACTGAGCTGTGACCTCCCCAGTGCCCAGTCCAGGGGGATGAGCACTGCCCTAGTCCTGCTGCCATGCTCTGCTTGATCCAGGCCAAGATGCCCTTGGCCTCCTTGGCCACCTGTGCACACTGTTGGCTCACACTGAGCCGCTGCCACCAGCACTGCCAAGTCCCTTTGGCACCAACACCTCTCTCCCCACTCCTCCCCCAGCCTGGAGCTGCTTGGGGTTGTTGTGTCCCAAGAGTAGAACCAGCACTGAGCCTTAGTGACCCTCATGCAGTTGTCCTCAGCCACTGATCCAGTCTGTCCAGGTCTCTCTATGGAGCTTTGCTTCCCTCAGGCAGATCCACACTCACCCAACTTAGTGTCTGTAAACTTCCTGAGGGTCACTCAATCCCCACATCTAGATCGTCAATAAAGATGTTAAACAGGACCTGCCCCAATGCTTGGGGAACACCAAATATTACTTACTTCCACAGGAGTCCCCCACAGCCAACTGCCATAAATGTCTAGCAACTTGCCCCAAGACAGTGTCATTTTGAGCAGAATTGGACATGAACACAATTCATATCCTTACCAGAAGCCTTCTGAGCACTCCAAGTGCTCACTCATATCCCATCTTTTTAACAAACTGTAACAAGGCAGTACCTAAACCTGTCACTCATTTTGAACAGCAGCAATGTGATGCTGTATAGACACAGGAAGGAATCTCACAATTCCATTCCAGAGGCCACAGCCTGCACACAGCTATGGAGGGCAGAGTTAACCATAGGCAAAAACAGCAGCTGTGGGAGAAGGTGGGGCAGGAAAACTGGAGAACCTCAACCAAGAAGCTCATGAGGTAACCAAGAAGTAACTGGGGAGATGATACTTATGAAAGAGGAATGGTACTACAGTCATAGAATCAGCTGATTGGAAAAGACCTCCAAGATCATTAAGTCCAACCCTACCGTGGTTACTAGACCATGGCACTAAGTGCCACATCCAGTCTTGCTGGAGAATGGCTATGAGAGCAAGGACACAGTCCTGGGAACACACCTGGGAATGCAGTGTACAAGGCGGCTCTGGAGATTGTAACACACATAGATAGGGAGTAACTCAGCTTGGCAGAAGGCAGGGGCAAGTTGTCCTTGAGGGTGAGACAAACAAGTTTTAGACAATTGCTGCTAAGAATGCAGCCAAGCCTGAGAAAGTAAGGAAGAATCCTCACAGCTGTAACTGCAAGTAGGGAGAGTACCTGAATGCTATCTTTAGAGCTTAGCCAATTATAAATGATTGTTACATGCTTGCCATGCACTGTATAAAGAAGAGCCTGTCGGACAATAAAGTTGGAGTTTGCTTTATCACTCACACTGAGTCGGCCGCTTGCTTCCCCGCGCGGCACTTTCCCAGCACAGTCTCATCTTGAAAACCTCCAGGGACAGTGAATCCACCACCTCCCTGGGCAGCCCATTCCAATGTCTGATCACTCTCTCAGTAAAAAATCTCTTCCTAATATCCAACCTAAACCTCCCCTGGCAGAGCTTGAGTCTGTGCCCTCTTGTCCTGCTGCTGGTTGCCTGGGAGAAGAGACCAACCCCCACCTGACTCCAGCCTCCTTTCAGGGAGTTGGAGAGGGTGATAAGGTCTCCCCTGAGCCTCCTCTTCTCCAGGCTAAACCCCAGCTCCCTCAGCCTCTCCTCATGGCACCTGTGCTCAAGTCATTTCACCAGCCTCATTGCTCTTCTCCGGACCTGCTCCAGCACCTCAATATCCCTCCTGAACTGAGAGGCCCAGAACTGAGCACGGGATTCAAGGTGTGGCCTCAGCGTGCCGAGTCCAGGGGAAGAATCACTTCCCTGGTCCTGTTGAACACACTGTTCCTGATACTTGACAATGCTTGTCATTAAACCCTCTCCCCCTCCTTGACCAACACACTCACTCTCTTCTCTTCTGCCCTGAAGAAGGGCAGAAAGACGAAGTTTTGACACGTCGCTCTGAACAAACAGCCGCACACTTCAGTGTTTACAATGCCTTTGATAGGACAACCACTTTATTACAAAGAACAAACAAGGCTTTGAAATAAGACTAATCAACTGGAAGTGTACAAAATGTCAGTTTCCTTGCAGAGGTCATTAAGTAACAGGCTGTAAAGAATAAGTTCACGTCAAATTCGCTATCCTGAAATATCAGATAACAACAGTAATACTTATCATATCTTCAGAGTTTATGGCATGATCATGTGCTCTACTCCAAACTACATTCAAAAGATATTGCTATCATTACTTTGAAAACACAAAGTGGAGGTTATTGTTCACTTCATTTCCACTTTCACAAGAACATTCTGAAGGTGAAGCTGCAGCGGCGTCTGCCAGAACTGGCAATACTGTCCTTTACTTACAGTCACAACCTCCCTAAGGAGGGGAGTAAAACCTAGATGTTTCTACGGTATGGATACATCTGATAGACTTCAGCTTCTGTTACATGCCCTTTAGTGGGACCTGAAATACATGGACAACACGGATTCTCAAAGCGCTGGTGTGTGCCAACATCTGCTGAACAGGCTGAAAATCCAACCATCAGGGTTTGTCTGATATCCTAGTTGATAGCAAACAGGTGGGATTTAGACATCATAGATACAGTTCTAAAACCAGACCACAAAGTATATTTTACAGAGTGTACCACGACTTCAACTGAATGCAAAACTGTGAGGAACCGAAGGTTTGCAGAGGATCACTACTCAATGTCACCCAACTGGGACAAAAAGAGTCAGTCAGCTGGAGAAACACACTTACAGGGGAGCCAGACTGTCATTGAAATGCCACAGTTTTACCCTTTGGTACAATGTGACATACCCACTGAAAAAAAATAATTGTGCAAAGCATGAGAAACCAAGTGCAAAAAAAAATACTCCACCCAGACATACCCAACAGGTTTGAATCTTAAATAACAACTCTACAATCACAGCTACCAACCAATGAAATCAAAGCCACAAGTGTTTTCTCTAACGGCTTCTTTCACAGTACTAGTAAGAAAAACCAAGTTCTATTCCTCTAGCTAACAGGGATGTGTATGGGATGTTAGTTATCAGTGTTGGTAGTGAGATCATACCTGACAAAATGGACCATTAAAACACAAACACCTTAAAGCCAGTTAACTTTAGGAAAAGTCCTATACATTCATACTACAAACACTGTTTAAAGTGAATCTGGGAGCTCTGTCGCTGTCTCAGACACATGATTTGCTCTGGAGTAACCCCAGGTGTTAATCCTGTGCCACAATTAGCACTGTAAGAGCCATTTATGGTCCCAGCACTTACCATATGCTATTACAGCACGTGATGTGTCACGATAATTAAGGCTGTCTCAGCACTTCCACTACAACCCTGATTTTCAGGGTAGCCAAAACTTGGCTATTAAATCTGCTCTGGGATACTTGAGCTGTTAAATCTCTACTATTTCAGTGATACTTCTCCCACCAAACCAGGCACATAATTTCTTTCAGTTTCTATATTTACAAACTTTCTTAAGACAAATTGAACTGGAAGAGGCAAGAAATTCTACCTTGATGTGTATATAGTCTTTTGGCATTTGGGGCAAAATTAAAGTGCAAAGTATCAACTTCATTGCACAGTAAATAATTGAGATTTTATCTTAAAATAAATCTTATTTAAGTGCCTCAATCTATTCACCTAGTGACCTTGTCCAACTCAGCCATTACACTTTGGTAAACAAAGGTTTATATATAGGTACATAAATAGCATTTAGAATGTTTACCTTTTTTTTCCACTGCTGTGAACAAATGTTTTCTTTCAGCATAGGAATGGATCAACGAATTCCTAGAAGTAATTGCTTCTTGCTTTCATCAGCTAATGCAAAACAATGCATAGTAAAAGGGAGATACTGAACTTGATTGGGAGAATATATTGGTAAAGCAAACGAGCGCTGAAGGAGATTAACTGGAATAAATAGGTTGAGAGTTGACATATAATATGTGCAAAAATTGCTTACCGTGTACTCTAAAACTTTGGTTAACGTTTTCAGATTGAGAGTTGCACAGGAACGTTATGGGAAGCAACACAAGTGAACACAAACACAGGAATGAGGTAAGTCATTAGTAGTGCAAAAAGCAAGCATATGCCAAAAGCAAAGCATATGGGTTTCACCGAACGAAAGAGAATGGATCTCATGGAAGTTTCAATACAAGACCACCCAGGTCTCTTGTAAACATTGGTATTTACAAGTGTAAAATTTGTACAGCTACAAAAGGATAAATCTAAATATTAGTAGTGCATTTACAATGGGTTTGCCTTTTTTTTCTTTTGTACGAAGAGAAATGGATAAGCTCATCTTTTTCCTTGGAGATTTTCAGGGGATATCTTTGAAGATATTTCTTACAAATAGTAGAAAAAATCCTTTCTTTACAAAAAAAGTATATATTAAAATATTTATACATTTTAAGTTACTCTATAATCACTGGAAATTTTTGCCTTGTAGTCAAGGCACCACAATGGACAATGTGGTAGAAAGGAATCAAAACCAAATGGAATTTGCTCAGACAACCAAATCTCAGGAGTTATCTAGGCCAGATCTGTGGCAAATTGTGGGGTCTCAACCTCAAATAATGCTGCTCCTGCCCAATGGTGGATTGGTTTGGAGTTTGAAACTGTGCAGTTTTTCCATGTGAACTATCACCACCACAAAAAGAGCTGCTGGATAGAGTGTGATGCTCCATCCACCACCTTCAGCACAGTCTCCCCGTGGTACTCACACCTGAGCAAGGCTGTGTGACGCTGACGTGTCGAACGTCACAAAGGTTAGATATTTTTAAGATAAAAACAATGCAAAAATAAAAGATTTGTAGCATTTACAAATAGTACAAGAGTTACATTAAACACTACATTCGAAACTGGAGATTTATTATGCTGTTCCTACTTGGAGCCTGATGTTTTCAGATCTGCAAAAAGAAGGAGACATGGTTAAAGGTTTCATCATTTCACATGGTGGACACAGCCAAGAACTTCCAGCTACTGTTTCAGAGTTCTGGGATACAGATGGTGGCCAAGACTCTCGTCAGTTAAAGGGTTAAACCAGCATTAACTACACATTACAGCAGGCAATTTCTCCATTGCTACTCTTGTCTTAGAAAAACACATGGTAAAACCCAAGCAGAGGTGTTTTCAGCCACCTCCGTGGTCACAGCCCAGACTAGGATCTTTGGCCACAGGGCAGCAAACCCCAGACAGCAGCTCAGTGCTCCCTGAAGGGGTGGGCACTCTGCCCTTCCTAACCTTCCTCCGTGCCTCCTGCTGAGCTAAGTCAGCTCCCAACACAGCTAAGCCAGAAAGGGGAAAGGGTGGAGTGAGAGAAGCCAGCAAAAATTTTATTTAGAGCCCCTGGCTTGGCTTACTTATAAGGTGAGCCAGAACTGAACAGGCTACAACTAATTTTATTTTCAGTGGATTCATTCCCATCCTCTATATAATCATAGAATTTAGGGGTTAGAATGGACCTTACAGATCATCTAGTCCCAAGTCCTTGCCCTGGGCAGGGACACCTCCTCACTAGATCAGATTGCTCAAGGCTCATCCAACCTGGCCTTGAACACTGCCAGAGTTGGGGCAGCCACCACATCCCTGGGCAACCTGTGCCAGTGTCTCACCATCCTTAGAGTAAAAAACCTTTTTCTCACATCCAGCCTAGAATTTCCCTCCTTCAGTTTGAATCCATGTACCTGCACAAGTTCAAGCACAGGGATAAGATGATCAAAACTTTTCTGCTTGTAACACAGACTTCAAGGTACATACGCATCTCAACAGTTCACCTTAGAACACCTAATGACACTTGTTTTCTACTAATAAGGGCAAAAAAAACTCTGATAACATCCATGGATGTAACTTCTTACTAGACTGAAAAACGTTTTAACTGAAGCCCAGGGAAGTCAGAAGCTTAGTAGGCTGTTTTAATTGAAAGGACTGGATAAGGCTCTGACTAATCACCTGAGTCAGGGCAGAATCAGATTGGATGTTAGGAGAAATGTTTTCCCTGTTAGGGTGTTGAGGCACTGGAATCGCTCAGGGAGGTGGTGGAGTCACCATCCATAGAGCTGTTGAAGAGGCATCTGGATCTGGTGCTGGAGGATATGGTTTAGGGGCTCCAGCAGTGACAGGTTAATGGTTGGGACTCGATGATTGTAGAGGTCTCCTCCAACTTTGATGATTCTATGACTCAATAACCAACATTTCAGTTGTTATGCCAATTTCAGCAACTAAACAGAACTCCTGTAAGGAACAAAACAACCTTTGGAGAACTTCCCATGCACTGCTATATTGGTTCTAGAGTCACCAAGCACCATTTGCTCCAGCCTCACTCAAATGCCTTTACCTTGGAGCCACCGAACCTGTGTGGCTGGTCCATAGCCTCTCTCGTTCTTCGCAGAGATTCGGAACACTATGGCAGGTCGGGAAGAGTAATCCACATGAGCATTTGAAAGCTGGGCAGCAGTCACTATGCATGATGTTTTGAGACCACAGTATATTCTCATAAACACAAGCTGACTTGGATTTTCCTGCAGCTGTGTGGAACGGATTGCTAAGTATGCAGAATACTCTAGAATGTTTCCAGAGGGTGAAGAAGGAGGCTCCCAAGAAAGATGAATACAGTCTACACTCTGAGGAGAGAAAGATGGGATGGGATGTAGTTAACCATAGGTGCTCTAATATATAGACATAAAATAAATGTACAAAGTATATAAACATAAAAAACTCCACATAAGCTAAAGATTGTCTGAAAATTGTCATCAGACAGACCATCTAGTCCCTACCCTCCCTGCCCTGGGCAGGGACACATCCTCACCACATCAGGTTGCTCAAGGCTTCATCCAGCCTGGCTTTGAACACTGCCAGGGTCAGGGCAGCCACCACATCCCTGGGCAACCTGTGCTAGTGTCTCACAACCCTCACAGGAAAAAACCTTTTTCTCACATCCAACCTAGACTTTCCCTCCTTCAGTTTGAACCCATAACCCCTTGTCCTATCACTACAGCTCCTAACACAGAGTCCCTCCACAGCTCCCTGTAGGCCCTTCAGATACTGAAAAGTTGCTCTGAGGTCTCCACGCAGTCTTTTCTTCTCCAGGCTGAAAAGTCCCAACTCCCTCAGCCTGTCCTCATAGGAGAGATGCTCCAGTCCTCTTAGCTACTTTGTGGCCTCCTCTGGACTTTCTCCAACAGTTCCATGTTCTTCTTATGCTGAGGACACCAGAACTGTGTGTAGTATTCCAGGTGGGTCTCACAAGAGCAAAGCAGAGAGGAAGCATCACCTCTTTTGACCTGCTGCCCACACTCCTTTTGATGCAGCCCAGGATTCCATTGGCTTTCTGGGCTGAGCTCACACTGCAGCTCATGGTGAGCTTCTCATCCACTGTCACTCCCAAGTTTTTCTCCTCATTGCTCGTTTCAATTCCTTCCCCACCCAACCTGTAGCTGTGCCTGAGATTGCCATGGCCCAGATGTAGGACCTTACACTTCATTTTGTTAAACTTCATGAGGTTTGCATCGTTCCAACTCTCAAGCCTGTCAAGGTCCCTCTGGATGACATCCCAAACCCAAGAGTTCCAAGATTAAGCTGAGATTATACATCAGAACGACAATTGCCTCTATTTCTCACCTTGGTTATTTTGACTGTTGAAGGAGCTCCAGGAAAACCTGGAATGCAAGTCTTGAATTCACTGATCTTACTGAAAGGCCCTACACCACAGCCATTAATTGCAGCAACTCTGAACCTATACACTGTGCCTGGAAACAGATCCTGCTTCTTAAGCAATCTGTAATCTGGTACATCTTCCCCTTCCGTCTGAAAAGAAAGCAATATTTGTGGTCATTTTTCAAATACTCTAAACACAATTAGCCTAAAAAATAATAATAATAAAGTGGGTAGTGAGAGTTTATCAGTTAATTAAGTTGACAGAATCATAGAATCAACTGGGTTGGAAAAGACCTCCAAGATTACCAAGTCCAACCCTACTGTGGTTACTACACCATGGCACCAAGTGCCACATCCAGTCTCATCATAAAAACCTCCAATGATGGTGAATCCACCACCTCCCTGGGCAGCCCATTCCAATGCCTGATCACTCTCTCCAGAAAAAATCTCTGTCTGTGCCCTCTTGTCCTCCTGCTGGTTGCCTGGGAGAAGAGACCAACCCCCACCTGACTCCAACCTCCTTTCAGGGAGTTGTAGAGGGTGAGAAGGTCTCCCCTGAGCCTCCTCTTCTCCAGGCTGAACAACCCCAGCTCCCTCAGCCTCTCCTCATGGCACTTGTGCTCGAGTCCCTTCACGAGCCTTACTGGTCTTCTCTGAGCCTGCTCCAGCACCTCAATATCCTTCCTGAACTGAGGGGCCCAGAACTGAGCACAGGATTCAAGGTGTGGCCTCACCAGTGCCGAGTACAGGGCAAGAATCACTTCCCTGGTCCTGCTGACCACACTGTGCCTGATCCAGGCCAGGATGCCATTGGCCTTCTTGGCCACCTGAGCACACTGCTGGCTCCTGTTCAGCTTCCTGTCTCTCCAAACTCCCTGGTCCCTTTCTGCCTGGCTGCTCTCCAGCCACTCTGTCCCCAGCCTGGAGTGCTGCATGGGACTGAGGTTCAGTTGAAACTGAAAAATCTGCCTAACACTGTTGTACCTGAGTCAGAATTTACGAGAAGGCTCTGACTTAGGCACTGTCTCAGCTCAGAACAGCTGATTTAAGCTGCAAAGTGGGACATCTCTAAGCCAAAAAATACCCCATTTTGTTTCAGTAATTTAAATTAAATTGCACTTTGTGCTTATTTTTACTCTGGAAAGCATATGCAAAGTAGCATTTACAACTACATGATTTATGATTTAGTTAGCATCATCTTCTGCCCTAAAAAAGGCAGACATAGTAGTTGCAATTTGATGTGCAGGTAAGCAAAATATTACTGAAGGAAAGTACTGTAAGTCAGTAAAAATTAGGTTTCTGAAACATTTCAGGCACTGAAATATTGCCCAGGGAGGTGTTTGAGAGGCATCTGGATCTGACATGGACCTGAAATAGTTTAGTGGGTCCAGCAGTGACAGGTTAATGGTTGGACTCGATCTCAGAGGTCTCCTCTGACCTTGATGGTTCTGTAATCCTATAATTCTGTGCTACTGTACTTCCATCATTAAAACATGCACTGATGCATCACTGAAACTTCCAATGGAACTATTTTCCTTCCGAATGTAAAAGAAGCACAACCAATGTAAACACTGTACAATGCAGTATTGCTCTTTAAGATACACAATATTTAGAGTGAAGTGTTCTGTTGTTTTGCTTCTTTCTCAAGGAAACACATGATTGTTTCCAGCTCAGTAGGACATCATTAACTGACACTTCTACCACCAAAATGGCACCATTTTTGCAAGGTTCACACAAAAAGCATTTTCATATACCAATTTACATGTACAAAAACACTAACTTAGAAAGACCTGATATGAAACTCACTACTGTTTCCAGATCAAGTCTTTTCAAACAGCCTGGTCTATGCCTCATTAGGAACTTTGACAGTTTTTAAGCCAAGATTCTGGGAACAGAGAAGAAATGGAAACATTTTGATGCTGTACTAAAAGAGCATATTAAGTTGTGGGTATTTTAAAGAGTTCTTACTGGTTTGAAAGTTTACTAAGTTTAAAATTCTTTCCTAAGGCTAGAAGTAAGAGTTACTAATACTATATTATCATGCCTAAACAACACAAGAAAATGAATCTGCTTTAGGGCATCATTAAACAGAGGTGAGAAAAATACATGAGGAGCTACTGGTTGAAAATAAAGAAGTCCTGTAAGCACCAGATTCTGCTACAGTGGCAGAAAATCCCAACACGTTCCAAAATACACCTGTGCAAGTTGTGTCAGAGAAGACTTGGCAGCTACCTTGTTGTTCAGTGTTTCCTCTGACAGCAGGTAGAACTGGCTCACCACAGCACTGTTGTTCTTGAAAATCCCAACATCATACCACTGCCGGTCCCGCGGCTTCGCTCGCTGAGGAGCTTTCTGGTGTTTGGAGAAGACATTGTGTAGGTTATCCAAACTTCAGCGCCATGTGGAAAAATGTCAAGACTCTAGTCTATGTAAGAGACAGCCCCTTTATACCAGTGTTACTTTCTTATACCTCAAATATGCATATGTTATTAGAATACTGTTCAAAACCAACTGGTTCTTATCCAGTTACTTAGACGCAGTTTGTCATTTAAAAAGCAAGCTGGGATCTCACGTCTGCTACTCTGCACAGGAGGGGAAGGAGTTTAAAGCTCTAGACCTAGGTGTCTGTGGCAGCATGTAGTTGTGAGTTAATTTCACTCAGAAGGCAAGAAGTTCCACCAGGTGGTCCAACATCAGCAGCTCTACCTGGGATTCAGCCACACTTCAGCCCCAGACACACTCTCTGTAGCTGCTGCTGAGAACAAGGACTCTGCCGTGGTGGGGGTGGAGGGTGTGCCAACTACTCCTGACTGCCCCACAAACACAAACTGTCTTGCTTGCTTGTCTCCAGGCAGCAGGGAGAGTGCTTGCACAGTCAGTGTGCCCAGCACAGAAAGGCCAGGATGGAAACGGGGCAGGAGTGGCAGCTGCTCTTGGCAAAAGTATCCCAGCCCTTTAGTAGCTAGCAGCTGCTTCTCCCCATCCTTAGTTCCTTGCTTTTGGCAGCAACAGTGGCACCCTGGCTTTGTGTATGAAGTTGTAAGCAGGTGAAATAGGAAGCATTTACTTTTTCAGGCAGTATTTACAGCTTGCATAGCCAGTCCCCATCTCCTCTAGGGAAAAACATCAAGATGTCAGTTAAGTTACGTTTCAAATCTCTAACACTAGTCTGATCTAACACATAGTTCACTTCAAATTCAGCTGTGCATACAACAGAAAAACACTTTACACTTGCACATCATGCAGCAGAGAGACCATTCCACTGTGCCAGTTGATAAAAATGATTCAACAGCTGAAATACATACTTGGATCTCCTCCCAACTACACAACTGCTACTTCGACTCGCATCAAACCCACACGATGTAATTAGTTCTATAACAGAAATGTTTACTCCTGTATTATTCACTTGCAGCCCTAAATATACATTGCTTTTCTCTCAGAGATACCATTATGGAAAATGGAACAGACCTCACAACTAATCAATGGAACAACAGATATAGTGATTTGATTATACTTTTTCAGACTTACAGAGGAGTGTGACTCATTGCTCTGTCCAGTACTGCCCTTTGCCGAAGGCATGATATAAGCAGTTTCAGCAGCTAGAAACAAAAAATGAAGTTTAAAAGGCTTAAGTGACACAAAAAATTGCACACCACATCCACAGAGCATGAAAGCTGAGCTCAATAACCTTTACAAGTACTTGTTGCACAAGTAGGTCTCACTCTTCTTTTGCATGCAGGTTCTATTTATGACACAAACAACTCTTTGGGGCTTCTGTCACATTCACAGAACAATTCTGAGAGTCTGGCACTACAGGGTTGCTACAGATAATACAGACAGAAGGCAGGACTCAAAAAACCCTGAAAAGTGACCGAATTATGGAGCTGAGCTAAAATATCTGCGAACAAACAACCTAAACCCCAGACTGAGGCACACACTGATGACACTGTCTGGTCAGTCTGTGACATCTTAATTTGACTGCATTATTTCAGACATCAGTTCAGTCTGAATTCTGAGCATGAGCGGTGAATCGGTAAACAACCCTAACAAATGGAAACACAGCATTCCTTACATTTAAAATGGAATTAAGCACATGAGCAACACGAGGGAATATTTAGTGTTCTCTACTTGTGTCTTTGGGTTTTGCTTTCAAAACACAAAACTGCTTGGTAAAAATTATACTACACACACAACTTCAACATGAGAACATAGTTCTTTAGTTAACACTCCAAACAAGAGCAAGCACAGCCTGTTGATACTCCTGGAAAAACAGAACTTGGAAAACTACCTACATGTTTATTTTCTGCCTTGGATATTCCAAGCTGAGCATGAAGAGGCCACCACCACTGACCAGCAGTGAGCTATGAACTGGCCACATTTGTTACAGAGGTCAATTGCTTAAAACCAAAACCATCTGAGGTTACTGTTTGAGTCTTTTGCTGATGCTTTTGGCACCAAAAGTAGCTGCCACTGCTATTTAGAAACTGGACCTCTGCATAAACAGAGATTTTAAAGGACTTTTCACTTACAAATGAATCACAAAGTGATTTACAAATGTCTAAAGGTAATATCCTGATGTTAAAAGATGTTTAAATCCTAGCAGAGATCACCCAGGCTGCACAAAGTCTTCAATGCCCAAAGCCCTATCCACATCCCAGGCACTAGTCAGGACAGGGATCCCACCACACTACAGGAACTCTGATGGCCTTAGATATATATGGCTCAAAATACAGTATGTGAAACACATTTCAAACCTTCAGCTTTTGAATTGAATGTTGTTAGTGAAGTTTCATCTTTAACAACTGCCCCATTTGTACTTGATGATTCAGTTTTAACAGCCTGCTGGGTTACCATAGTTTGTGTGCTGGAGACAGTACCGGATACAGAGGCATCAGGATTTACAGTTTGTTTGTCCAACTCATGTAATTCACCTACATTTGCTGATGTCTGAGCACCTAAAAAAAAAAATAAAATTAACCAGAATTCAATATTGGTAACACATAACAAAGCTCAACTTGATAAAACATCTTTACTTTAGTATAAAACACAGTTTAGCTCAGAATTAGGTTAGAATGGTGCTGACATGGATTGCTAATGATTTCTTTAGACATGCAACTGGACAAAAGTCTGTCAGCACAGTCAGGAACACGTACCTGTAAGCTGTTATTTTAAGCTTCCTATTCTATCTCTGTTTGCTTACAAAGGGACTAATTTGGGAAAAAAACCCCACTAAAATAAAGGATTCACACACATCAGTATCAAAGAGAAATGAGTATCAAAGAAATGATCGATTTCAATTGAACCCCCATGGAATCTTGTTCCTCAGCACCAAGAACCAAAAATTACCACTTGATACTTAAATTACACTGTGAAAAAAAATGAAAATCTAACAACCTATAAGTGACATGAAAGTCAAATATAAACAGATCCAGTGATTGAGTCTGGAATGACCACACTGAACTTAAGGCACTTCGGTGAAATGCCTAAATCACTGTTCCGTCATCTCCTATTCCATGCCTGGGTTGGAGAGAGGTGAGGGATGTCTGTCCTGCCATGGCTGCCAGGAGGGGACTAGAGGGAATGGCCTTGAGCAGAGCCAAAGCAGAGCCAGATTAAATGTTAGTAGAAATGTTTTCCCTGTGAGGGTGTTCAGGCACTCGGATAGATTGCGCAGGGAGGTGTTTAAGAGGCATCTGGATCTGGTGCTGGAGGATATGGTTTAGGGTTTAGGGGTTCCAGCAGTGACAGGCTAATGGTTGGACTCGATCTTACAGGTCTCCTCCAGCCTCAATGAGTATTTCCTCTGCAGTCAGAAAGCAAGATGCTTCTCTCTGCACTGCCTGAGATTTCATACCAGCTAATAGCTGTTCACTGCTAACAGACAGACACAGCATCAAAGACAGTCTGGAGTTACTATATAATGTTGTAAAATGTATCTGTCCCTGTTCTTTTCATGTTCAAAATGGGTATTTGTATTAAAAAAAGACACATTTGCCATCACAATAATGACTACATTGAGAATTTCATGTCCCTTGCAACACTTCAAACAACTTATGATTTCACTTTTCCTTGCACCTTCTAAAAACATGTAAAGTAATAACTACCACGAGTTTCCTTAAACTACAAAGGACTCTGAAATCATTTTAAATTACAAGACAGACATAATCCTACTTTATGTTTAGGAGACGAATTTTAACCCTTGCTTTTTAAGTAGTTTTTGTTCCATAGTCATCTTACTTGAAGTACAAACAGGCAGAACAGAAGGGGCATTTGATTCTTTGAATCCTGTAGCATCTGTACTGTTTTTCACAGTTTCCTGTGTAATCTTGTTGTCAGGTGCTGCAACCTTTTCTTTTCCTTCTTTCAGTAACGAGTTGGATGAAAGGGAAACTTGGACCTAACCAAAACAATACATTTGTTAACGTTTTGTTGCCAAGTTCAGAACTTTCAGTTCATGAGCTCAGAGAGAAAACTCCTTCAACAATTCCCCCTAGTGCTTTGAATGAAAACAAGAAACCTCTCAATCAACCTTATCTTAGACTCAGACTCTGAGTTGACTTGGAAGTGCCCCTGACACACACTGCGTGTTATCTGAGAGTGAGCTCACGCTCTTACAGCACTGCAAAGTTCATGGATAAATACATTCAGTCTGTTAAGGGGAAGGGGATGGCAAAAATCACAATTACAGAGGCTTTCAACTTTTGCTTTCCTGGCACATACTTAAGAAATTTCTACTGAGAGTGAAATTTATACTCTTTCTACATGTGTTTCTCCAAGAATACATTATATTTGGGTACAAATTGAAGGAGGGGAAAATTAGGTTAGGTATTAGGCAGAAGTTCTTGCTGTGAGGGTGGTGAGACACTGGCACAGGTTGCCCAGGGAGGCTGTGGCTGCCCCAACCCTGGCAGTGTTCAAGGCCAGGTTGGATGAAGCCTTGAGCAACCTGATCTAGTGGGAGGTGTCCTTGCCCAGGGCAAAGTGTTGGGACTAGATGATCTCTAAGGTCCATTCCAATCCCTAAAATTCTATAGATACCCTAAGACTTTTTGCAATTAAAGGTCCAAAGTTCTAGAAATATGATCCTTTAGCCAGTTTGTCCAAGCTCTTTCTGTTAAACTGGCAAAACAGAGGAACATGTACAATTGCACAACTAGAGTAGGTAAGAATTGATTTGGTTTCATCTGTAGTAGAAACCTACAACTAAACAGACTAGCATGAAAGCACTAACAAAAAGGAATATGCCTTATTCTTTTTGCTTTCCACATTAATTACACCAACACTTTGAGGATGTATAACATTTCTAGTGGCATCAGCCTCCCAGTTAGCATTCTGAAAGTCAATCCAGTTGCAGTTTCCTTTCTGCATTAAGACACAGAAGAGGAACTTAAAGACTGTCTGTCAGTCACAGAAGTATGTAAGAAGACAGACACAACTACATCAGCAGGTGTCTTTCTTTCTGCTTGATCTGTGTTTTTTCCCCTAAAAAAGTATGGAAGGACTATGAAAACTGAGAAAGTGTTCTGCAGTTCTCGTTTCCCACACCACTTTGCCACTTAGGCACTTCTCAGTTTACACTTACATTATTAGGAGCAAGATTATTTGCTTGGCTGGGACGATCCACCTTCATTTCTGGATAAGGGATGCTGGGCAATGACTGTGGACTTTGATGCAGGGATGTGCCACCTTGCAGGGAAACAAAAGCAAATTCCAATCACTTACATAAACTTCATGAACCTACTCCAGGAAGGAAGAGGGAGACCTGAAGTTGGCTAAAGGAAAACTCTATTGTAAGGCTGAAGTGAAACTGCATGGCCAGTCAGATAAAATCCTTTCCTTATGGTTTCCTTTCTGTGCCCAGCAGAGAGCTGGCCAAAACTGACAGAAACAAGTTAAAGCAGAGTTTTCCATAACTGTGATGGAAATAACCAAAGAAACAGGGTCTCTCTTCTCTCTTTAAGAATCAAACTCCTGTTAATTACTTAGGCAATCCTCTGCTCTGCCTTTGTACAAACTTCAGTGTAACATGAGCAGACAATACCTTGGGAACCTGGCACTGATGTCTCAGGAATTCCAGCCACGGGTGCCACTGGTGAGTCAGCGTGTAACTGAAGGAGATATCCCTCAACTGTAGGTACTTCATCCCATTTCAACTGAAAGGAGTTTGTTGTAGCTCTGATCAGTTGTACCTGCGATGGTGCTAGAGGTTTCTCTGCAAGAAAGCAATAAAACACAGGTGGCCATGTTAGAAATTGCCCTTCTTTATCAGTTTATGTAACACATCTACAGGTTGCAAGTAAAATTAATAGCTCCTTTTTCACCTATGTAAAATATATCTCAGATTCAACAAGAAACCCCTGTCAAAAGCAGCAAGTCAAGCCAGGAATTACAAAGTGCCATGCTAGAGTGTTTGAAGCTGCTCAAGTGTTGATGCTTTAATGGCTCTTCTGCTGCCACTAAACCTTTGGGGTGTAATTACATAAATGTAATGTAGAGATGACCCAGGTAAGAGATCCTTGTGCTTTACTAAAAGGCTGCAGGCAGCTCCTGGGCCCTTGAAAAGACTTCCAAGAACATTCTTCTTACTTTTTGCTTGCTCTATGTAGCTAAACTGAACTTTCTCTCAAACTTCATCTATAGAGGCTGAAGTCTAGACATGACTAATGCTAATGACCTGCTCCTCTGCCTTGTCCTGATGCCTGACTAGGCTGCACTCTCAAGCACATTCCTCCTCTGCTACTCTTTTTCATTTTCTGAGGGGAAAAAAAACTTCTCACCACCTCCTAAATGTTTCATAATCTCCAGTAACGACTCTCAAACTTCTGCTGCAGCAGGCAACAGCTCCCCATAAAAACTTCCATTCTAGTTCCCTCTCTCCCAATACCATCTCAGTGCTCTGCCATCAATCCAGCTACTAATACTTCGTGCTCCAAAATTCCCTTAATGCACAGGAAAAATTGGTCCTTTCTCAGATTCGACATTATCTATTTGCAGTCCGAGAGATGAGCAAGCAGCAGCAGAAATGATCCCAACTGGAGGAGGAAGGGTTGGGTAAAAAAGAGTAAGAGGCAGCAGAAAAGATCACTAAAATCTGAGGCCATGAAGCCTGAGTTCAGGCAAAACTTTAGCACCTTGTATCAATCAACGGGGGTAGGCAAGGCAGGATGTAGCCACAGAGTTCTTCCAGAGGCTATGAACAAGCCTTCCTCATTTTTTTAGTTGTAGCTGTAGCCTGTAAACAATCAACAGTGAAGCATGGTTCCAAAAATAACCTCTAAAATTTAGATCCCCTTTGAGTCTGCTACAGCTTTAATGTTTTCCCATACATTAATAAATCATCAATCAGTTTATCACCAATGAGCTTCCCATACATGAATAAAACATGGGACTCACCAGTATCAAGATACCAAAGATCTTTGCAGCAAACTTGATTGTTCCAAGCTTTTCTGTAACCATCTCTACCACTCCAGATATAGAGCCGAGTGCCAACGGCTACAGCACAGTGTCCTGCTCTGGGCCCCGGTAACAAGTTGCTTTTGTCCTCCTGGCAGTCTGGGATCAGACCTATCCATTCTGTGGTATCTAGTAAAGAAAACTCCAAACATTTAATTTCTAGGCGTTTTGCAAAACAAGTAACACAGATGTGAACACAGTTAACTGCTCAGAGAAAATGAAAATGAATCACTTTTGTCCTCACAGACATTGAAATGTGAAGGATTACAAAGATAAGGTCACTTTCCAATTACTCTGCAAGACATAATCAACACAGGATGAATTTTCTGACCTCCGGTTCTCTCTCTCAGGCAAATATGAGATCAGAAGTTGAGGATTCATGGATAGTACTATCATGCTTAGAAAAAACTCCTCTCAGGATCTGTCTCTTGTGTTCTATAAATGGAGTATTTATATGACTTAGTATTAAAGCTGTGTTTGCAAAGATCTGCAGAGGCAAACCTGCTCAATCTTCAGAGGAAAATAATAATTACAAAATCCCTTCTCAAGAAAGATGTAAACAACTGGCAACTTCTTTGGTCAGCTAGGATTGCCAGGGGATGTGGTGGCTGCCCCGACCCTGGCAGTGTTCAGGGCCAAGCTGGATGAAGCCTTGAGCAACCTGATCTAGTGAGGAGGTGTCCCTGCCCAGGGCAGGGTTGGGACTAGATGATCTGTAAGGTCCATTCCAACTCCTAAATTCTATGATTCTATGATTACAACTATGTCTCCTGAAAGTTCCCTCAGGGTCTCCAAAATAGTGTCCCTACTCCGTTGGGAAAGAATGGAGTCCAAACACCCATTCCCAGAAAGGCAGCAACACTAACCCAAATTAAGGTAGGAAAATGACCCAGTACACTTCCATTCCCCATCATGAGCAGAGATTTCCCCTTCTGATGACTGTGGAACCCATCCACCGAAGACATACATTCTGAAATACAGAAAAGAGGGAAGAGGGAAAAAAGTAAAGAAAAGCCTGTTAACATCCGTATCTGCTGCATGTGCTCTCTCAAACTAGGACAAATAGAAAATTTCCAGGGCTTTACACTTCTGATTTACAGCACATTTTATTGGTGTCTACTCTCTTTATAAAGTAGTTTCAGTTATCTCCTTTCTGAAATTTTTGAGTCAGTTAACTGATTAAAAAACTCGAACCAGACACCAAAAAAAATCCCCACAAACTCCTCGAACAGCTTCCCAGAAATAGATGTTAATACTGTAACCTTTTACAAACCACCAAAAGTGCTAATGTTCTCCAAAATCACACACAGAGAATTTCTACAGCCCTTCCCTGCTGCCTTCTCAATGCTAGAACAGGCAGACTGGTAGCTAAGTCAGATATCAACATTTTAAAACATAACACAGGCTACAAACTAATAACATTTTAGGTAAATAATAAACAGCTATGTTGGACCATAAGATACAAAGCTTCCACACTTCCTTCCTCCTTGCCTTCCTCCTCATGCCAGCTTGTCAACTGATACAAAATAGACTGAAACCCGTGTTTAAAACCCCATTTGATCAGTGCTATCTGCCAAAACCAACCACACTGGGGCAAGAGGGAGAGTAATGAGGAACAGACTGCAGAAAAAGTGTGGAACAGTTTTGCCTAGAACTAGTTTTACTCTCCGAGCAGTTTCTCTGTGGAGCAAATTCATTTATGCCACAGACACAGAGGTACTCAGGCTCACTCCTGACTGAGCCAGCTCAGGCCCAGCTGAGACTGCCCCAGAATGCACAAAAGTGCTTTAAGAAGCCTGGAAAGCTCCTCATGGGTTAGGCAGATTGTCCTGTTGTATGGAAATACTGATAGTTCCATACCCTTAAGTCAACAGTGGCACTTAAAACAGAAGCAGAAAAGTAGCCTACATAGCTGATGGTTTATACTGAGCAGTAGTGGATAAGCATCATCATTCTCCTACTAGGTGTACCTTTCTAGAGTTGAGCTTTTAACAACAGACATACTTGTTTCCTATTACATTGGCCGTATGGAGACTGCGAGGAAGTGGTACTGTCCCTTTAGTTTCTGGTCTTGACCAGGTCATGGTTTCTAAAAGAGAAAGAATAAAAAAACCTCAAAAACACCTTGTTACTGCACATTTCACTGCCTGGATTTTAGGAGGTGACACACTTGTAATACTCAGGAAAATTTCACCTTCTTAAGTGGCTGCTTTAAGAAAGGAGGTGCAATAACAAGCACTTAAACCTTTTAAAAATCACAGCAATACTGACAAACTGTTTATCAAACAGATACATGGTTTCATTATGGTTGTTATTAAACTTGGTTATCACGGTGACAGTCTTTAGAGCACTCTAAAGAAAAAATCTCCCAGTGCAGCCATAATCATATGTGCAAACCGTGCTGTATCTCTGCAATTCCAAACAGCACAACAGGCTAGCACCGTGGTGTAAGTCTCCATTAACCACTCTACACTGTCATTTTTCACCTCAGCCAGCCAGCACTGCCTTCTACTGGCAAATCAACTCACCTATGTCCAACTCCCAAAGATCATTAAGCCGACAGCCACACATCCCTCCAAAAATATATATCTTCGGACTTCCCACATCCTTTCTGCAGTACACAATGGCTGTGTGAGATTCCCGGGGAGATGGCAAGATTCCTTTGGTCACAGGGATACTCCAGCCAACGACGCCAGAACCATGTTGCAGCTCCAGTTCATAGAAATCATTTAAATATCTAGGATGTCATTGCAAAAGTATGAGAAAATTCACTTATAAGCAAGACTGCAAATGTGCTTTAAGCCCTGAGCACTTCCAAGTGTTACAGACTTCTGCCTTAGAGTCATAGAACCATCAAGGCTGGAAGAGATCTTTAGGATCATTGAGTCCAACCATTAACCTGTCACTGCTGGAACCCCTGAACCATATCAGATCCGTGTCAGGTTCAGATGCCTCTCAAATGCTTCCAGGGATGGTGACTCCACCACCTTTCTGGGCAATATTCCAGTACCTGAACACTCTAACAGGGAAAACATTGTTCCCAACATCTGATCTAACTCTCCCCTGTCTCAGTCTGTGGCCATTCCCTCTAGTCCCCCTGTCTTGGGAGTGTAGAGTTTTAAATTCCCCAAACATTGGTTGCATGGTGTACAGTACCAAAACTGAATTTCAAATGGATTTAAGAGTAAACAACCAAACACTTATAACTTGTTGCCATTAAGGAAACATGTTCTCAGATGGTATTTGATCCACTGTATTGCATAACAGAAACATTCAACACGAGTAAACACTTCTTTGCAGAAACTACTAGGTGTGGACACACTTTGAATAAACAAACTGAAAAACTGTGAGAAATAACATGATGACATGGGACATGAGAGCTGAATTTCTGTGACTCTTAAGGCAGCGAAGGTGAAAAGCTGTTTCTTTCCTCATGCCTTCAGGCTGGCCAAAAGACAATTAGTCATGTGTGGCTGAATCTATCAGCAAGTTATTTTTAGATAACGGTCTCCGAATCTTGGCGTTCACACCAGATACCTCTTGTTTACTGAGCTCAAAATTACCAGTTTACAGCTCAGCAGATATAAGTGCTCTGAACTGCAGGTGAACGTGGATATAAAACTTCATCATTATAGCACCGTTTGCTGACAGTAAAGGCAACTTCAGCTGTTACTGTACAAAATTTCCAGAAGAATTCCTAAGTGTTTTCAACCGCGATACAGAGCAATTCATTGTGCATTCCCCGATGACTCATGAGACTTTGCTGCTTTAATTAACTCTAACAAACAAGCCATTCTTAAAACCATCACTCAAAATACTAGGGGAAGCACCAAAGCCTGGTCAGGTTTCCCTATAAAAGTGCCAGGGCTGTCAGTCAGTGTTCCATACTGTGGGATTAGCAGAAGAAATACTGGAGCTCCTTTGCATGTAACCTCTCTGCTGCACAAATAATCCGACCCCGAGCACTTGGAGGAGGGCAGGACAGCCTAGGATGTTCCTCTTCAGAGTTGTCCCACCTATCCATCTGTTTTTAAACCCATTCCATACCGATCAGCATACCTGGGAACATTATTGTTTGAATCTTCACTTTCATTTGCCAGGCCACCAAATAAATAGCACTTGTTCCCATACAGAGAGAAGCTGTGGCCAAGCCGAGGACAGGGTGGTGATCCATTGGAAGGAGCTTGAGGTTTGACTTTTTTCCAGAGCCATCGACTTGCCTCAAAGACAAGAAAAAGACACTCAGAAATATCTTCACACTCATATGTTTTCTGAATTATTTTTAGGGGAATGTTGGGCTTTCCTTGGGACATATGTTACAAGGGACACATTAGAGCTAACCTTAATAAAACCTTAAATGTTTTTTACTTTATTTAGACCAGGTGGAAGCATCTATTTCAAAGTTATTTAGATTTTCTTCATGTTCAGAATCTATTTCAATTTTGCTCTTCCTGGAGCAAAGCAAAGCTCATCTAACTTTCCTCTGCAGTGGGTAAAATAAAGTGAGTTCGTTCATAAACAGATCAATAAAGTCCTCAAAACTGACACATCTTCACACATTTCCTACCTGCAATTCATACAAATCATTGCTGTATCTTCCATATTCAACCATTCCTCCAAAAACTAGTATTCTGGTACCATCACAAACAAATCCGTGTGCGGCACAGCCTGGAGGGATATCTCCCCTTACAGCAGGAAGGAACCATTGATTCGTAACTGTAGTAGAGGAAAAAGAACAATATTTCAAACACTGAAAAGTGTATTTTGAACCACCTCTGCTTCCTAAAGAATTCCCTGCGGATAACTGCTAATGGGCTACTTGTTTAACACCAAGTTTGAACTGAATTATGATTTTTAATAAGAAGAAAAGCAAACACCTCTATCAAACCAATGTTACTCAGTAGATGAGTGAGCATATGAGGTCACTGTAACTAAGTCAGTTAGGAAGGGTCACTCAGCAACTTAATAGACCTGCCAAGAATAGAGGCTAATGAGGAACACAAGTGCAGCTTCATACAAAAGAGACAGCTATGCTCACTCAGAGGGAGCTAGCCCCAGAAACAGCATTATTAGAGCTGCAGCAGCATGGCACTGTGCCTGGACTTAATAGCCCCATTCAAAAACTAATTACAGTGCTCTGGGACCCATGTTAACATCCACAGAGCACTGCACTGATCCATGGGAGAGGGGAGGCACGGAGGCAATAAAGAGCAACCGAGACTGTCTGATCGAGCAGCAGCAAATCGGTGTTTAAACTGTTCTGGAATTAAAGAATTACAGGAGTTACTGTCTTCTTTTTCCTAGGATTATTTTCATGAGCACGAAAAGTATGAAATTAGAAGCTTCCAGTGAATGTTGCTGCAGGGGATTAAGATGCTCTCACTGAGTGGCAGCGCCTCGGAAGTTATGACACACACAGCAAGAGCCATGGATAACATCCCACATTTGGGCAACCCAGGGCACAGCCCTGAGTCTCAACCCCAGGGCACAGCCCAGCGTCTCAACCCCCAGCCCTGCATCTAAACCCCCAGGGCACAGCTCTGCATCTCCACCCCAGTTCACCCAGCATCTGAACCCCCAGCACTGAATCTCAACCCCCAAGGCACTGCCCTGAGTCTCAACCCCAGTTCATGCTGCATCTGAACCCCAACCCTGCATCTCCACCCTAGCTCACCCTGGATCTGAACCCCTAGCCCTGAATCTCAACCCCAGAACACAAGCCTGAATCTTAACCCCCAACCCTACATCTCCACCCCAGCTCACCCTGCATTTTAACTCCCAGGTCACAGCTCTGAATCTTAATCTCCAGGGCACAGCCCTGCATCTGAACCCCAGGAGACAAAAAGGTCACTTTGGGCCAAACACTCCTGTGGGAACTGGAACAACTGAGTCATGATCCTTTCTGTCAATGCTGCAAAGGGGAAGCACATTTATCTGACAGTATGGGCAGAAAAAAAATGATCAAAAGTCATGTTAAGCCTCACCCCGATCAGAGCCTCTGCTCTGACAGACAGCGTAGCTGTGCTGCCTAGGAGTTCTCTTTGTGTTACTTGTCAGAACAGAAACATTTAAGAGAACTTTTACTTCTCCCCCCAAAAATGTCGTTGAGTATAGCAGATCTTTCAGCTACCAGGGAAAAACCTGCTTGGAAAAACTCAAGCAGCCAACACCACCTGGCTGAGAAGCGCCTAACTCAGCCACCTAACTCTCCCGTCTTAGCCCAAGCTCTGGAATTCCATGCAAGTTGTTCATCCTCACTCAGCGCCCCGTAAAGCGGCTATTTAGGCATCTAATCCTTCACAAGTAAAATCGTTCTCGGGCAGCTCCTTCCTGTTTGGAAAGGCTCCCGATACCAACACATTCACTTTTCCAACCCACATTCCTATTCCGGCGCGGAACAGGAGCTGCCGCCAGAGGGAAGAAGGGGGATCGGGACAGCGGCGGGGGCCGAT